TCGTTGCCCATTCAACACTCATGCCAAAGTTGACACTCCATTGTTGATCCGGTGAAATATGAAATACCTGTTTGTAAAATTAATATTTGACAAATAAACATGGCCAAAGAAAAGAACATTTTACTTACAAACCTTGGTTACTGCATCCCAGACGATCTAGGCGTTCGTCCACTAAATTTCTTGTTTCCGCCGTACTGTTTGTGCTATTGCCAGGAAATTGTGGATTTAGCTATAATTGCTATTTGCAGATTTAAATATCCAGAGTCTGAAAATGTAGGCATTGTTTCGATATTTTTAAAAATATCTCCCATACACTATTTAAATGAAATAGTTTATGTGATATGACATAAGTCAATTGTATTTTGTACATGTGTGTCATTGGCAAATATTTCCTAAGAACACAACTACTGTATGAATAATATTATATTTGACCTGTAACCTCTGCTATGAATACATTAGGCTACTGAGCCGTTCCAGTATTAGTTCTTCGAGGATTTGTTTATTATGTTGATATTAGATCGATCTCTTTTTTGCAAGCTTGTTGACTATTGAACTCATCATTTTGATCTTTTACAGAACTGTCACACAGTAGCATTCAGTATCCACAAAGCCCGTCCCTAATGATCATCAACCAACTAGATCTATGTACATGTATATTGCATTACTATTAGGATCAACCTCTGCTCATGGCTGTGTTGTGGATCTGTGTCCGGGAGAACTGGGAAAATGCTAAAATACATGTACATTTAATAATAATACATATAAAATCTAGATCTAATAGTAGATCTAGATCTAGTAGTAGTAGTAGCCTAATAAAATTTTATTTCAAACACTAGTCCTATAATAAGGTCGAAACTGTCTAAAACGGCCACCTATGTGAGAAAATGATCGCATTAGACAGGTGGTTGTCTGACGCAATGTCATTATAAGTTCAAAAACACGCAAGGGAAGAATACATGTACTGGGAAATGGTCGTATAAAAGTTAATGTCTTATAAAAGTAGTTGTTGCAGCAGG